AAATGTTTCATTAGTGATGGGCATAAAATTCAGATAAAATCAAAGGCAAAACAAACTACATGCATCACCTATGACCTTAATTTAATTACCTTCTCACCCTCAAAATGTAACAAACTACATTTGAAATTGGAGAGAATTTCAAAAAATAAAGTCTGATGATTAGCAAGAAAAAGAAAATTAAGAATTTCTGATCAAATCATATTCTTTTCTATTTCTACTTTACGTATTTTTTCCTGGCTCTATCTTGATGTGAGATAGTTTTATATTCTTCAAGGAAGCCTGTCAGTATGGTGGATAATAAAACACTTGTGACATGCACTTAGTCCTCGACTTGCAAACGGTTAGTTAACCATTCAGTTACGAGGGGCTCAAAAAAATCACTTGTAACCCATCCTTGATGTTACATCTACCCCACCACCTCTACAGTCCCGTGATGACATTTTGGGCACTTGGCAAATGGCTCACATTTACAATCAGTTGCAGAGGTCCTATGGCCACAGGATCATATTTTGCAAGGCTTTTTGTCATTTTCCAGCCAAAAACACCCATTGGAGAACCTGGATTCAGACTTAAGAACCAGGTGATTCACTTAATCATGGTGACCAGTTACATGACTCAATTTACCACAACAATGTATGACCAAAATTCCAGACTCATTTGTGTTCATAAATTGAGGATTTCCTCCATAGGAACTCAGACACTTCATAAAGATCTCCTTGGAATGAAACAAGGAATGCTGGTCTAAACCTGTGCACATTTCCCTTAATTTTGACTGGAATTAATTTGGCAAGATCCTATGGACAATAATAGGTTGCAGATGTAGAATGTTGACCATTTTAGCCACAAAAAAACCCCCTCAATATGTGAAAATTCAGTTGCTAAATTTTTTACATTACTTTAGATAAAATTAGATGAAGGTTTTTTTGGCTTTGGTTTACTATTTTTGGCAGTTCATTCAACTTCTTTGAACAATTGATCATAGTTCAATTGCTATTTTGAAATTTTGCAGTTGTAAAAAGATTTGGAAGAATTGATTGACGTTCCTATGCAAATAATCTATTTTTATAAGAAATTGAAGAAAATTGATAACAAATAGTTAACATGAATTTCATGAAGCTTTGGGATAATGAGCATGGATGTTGTGCTTCTGTAAAGCAATGGAAGTTGGCCTTGAACAATATAAAATTTTGATTTTATAATCACTACAATGGAAAATTCTGTTTCGGGTATATCTGGCACTTCAAAGAATGTTCAATAATAATGAGCTGCAGTTGCCTTGGTAGAAATAAATTCCAGGCATTACAATCCTAACTTGATATTATTGTGTTTTGAGCTAAAACTCAAATAATTGTTAAAAAGACTTTGAATTGAATGGTTGGGAATAAAGATGTTCAAATATTACATCCCTAATATTTAAAACCCTTGAAGACTGGGATGATAAAAGAAAGCAATGAACATTTGACGAAAATATCTGTGGCTGATTTAAAGCAGAGCATTGCTGATAGGCGATAATTATCACTAGCTATTTTCTTGCGTGGAGTGGGGGTCTCAGGAACAAGAGGATGAGCAATTGGGTCAGTTTTGGGGAAAGTTTTGTTTATGAAATAATTTTGCATGGCTTTTTCTTTTTTTCCCATTTTTGAAAAATTATTTCGTTAATCCTATTATCGCTCTGCATACTTTTCCTGTTAAATTATTTGCTTTACTTAAAAGAATCCTCATTGGAATGGAGGAATTTTGAAATGTTTAAGTAAAGGACTACTTTTTGCTGGGGTCAGACTTTTTGATGGATAGATGGATGTTCCTGTTTCTGCCAAAGATCATTTAGACCAGGGATGTCAAACTCACGGCGGCACCCGACGTTTCAGAACTTTTTTCCCCTTCGCTAAACCGGGCGTGGGTGTGGCCAACGTGTGACGCATCGGGGCCATGAGTTTGACAGCCCTGATTTAGACCATTGTGTTTGATATTATTCTGCAGTAATTAGGCTTTGATCTGCAGAAAGCAGCTGAGGGGCGGGGAGAAGTGGGAAGGAGGGATGAGTTTTGCTTCCACATTCAGAGGGCTGCTGGAGTCTCAGAACAGGTGATAGCAATATTGTTACATTATTTTCAAGGGTCCTGTTACAACCAGTTAAGAGCATCAATTTAAAGTACTTCTTGGCTTGCTTACAAAGGGATAGCTTGCATAAGTAAATCTGATTTATTGTAAAGACAAAACCCAGGAAACAGTCCAGTGAAAATGCAAAATAATAAGGAAGCAGGTGGGATTTCACAGCTTTCCTAGAAAATCTTCATTGGGGGTCTTGATAGAATGTTGTTCGTTGGGAAGTGTGTTATTTGAGTCCAGTGCAATTGATTGGATAGCAAAGCCAGTGGCTTTTTTGGCATTACACCTTTGAGTCTGGTTTGCTATTCAATAATAAGAAAGCAATTCAATAAAGAAAGTGTTACTTTGATATTCATTATTTGCATGACACTGAAAAACTATTTTCAAATTATTCTCAACAGATTGTATAATCATAATATATTTAAAGATGTAAAAAAAAAGAACCATCACCTGAAGATTATTACAGTAAAATAATGACTCATTATGTGAAACAAAAATACCGTATTTTTCGGAATATAAGACGCACTGGAGTATAAGATGCACCTACCTTTTTTGGTGAGGAAAAGAAGAAAAAGAAATCTCCCTCTGCCTCTGAGCAATTTTGCCTTGTTGCAGCAAACAGCCTGCTTTACTTTCATTTTTGTTTTAAGCATATCTTGATTAGCACAAGGGAAAAAAAATCTGCTCCAGCAATTTACCTCTTTGCAGCAAACAGCAGAGCCCTGCGCAAAACAGCTAAGAGCAAATCAGCTGAGAGTCGGGAGACTGATCCCATCAACTTGTGCTAATTAGGCTGTGCTGAAGCTGAAAGGAGCTTTTTTCCTTGCTGTTTGCTTGCAAGGAGGTAACTGCTGCAAGGCAGAGGCCAAAGGGTGGGCGGGGCTACATTCGGTGTATAAGACGCACCTAAATTTTCACCCCTTTTTGGGGGGGAAAGGTGCGTCTTATACTCTGAAAAATACGGTATATAGACAATGCTTTTCATTTTTCCATAGTCTGATTTTTGCATGATCACTTAATAAACCAGTTATTCGGTTTAGGGAGAAACTACTTACTGACCCGGTTTGAATCCTTAAATGTGATTATGAGAATTGTGTGAGTGTGAAATGATTTCTTTGGCTTATTTCCTCCTGTTTGTGAAAATTGTTAAGTAAACCAGGGAACATCTGTCTGTCTGATTCCTGTCCTCATAACCACAATTTTTTCTGATCTCCCTATCCAAGAACTTGGTCTTTTTTGTTTTGCGTTTTGATCACAAGAGGAAGAAAGGCAGTCTTACCAATTTAGTATTAGAAGTGAGTTTGATAGAATTTTTCATTGGGAGTGGAATCTTACTTGCATCTATGTAAGCTGTAGGTGCTAATTGTAGCGCTATTTTTTTCTCTATACGGTATATTTGAGTCTATGTTTACTATAGGTTTTGCAAGTCTTTTAAATGTATTGTGTTCTTCACCCCAAAGGTGTTTATTTTAGGAGGCAACTGGAAAAATTCAGTTGCCTCCTGAAAAAGCACCTTTGGGACAACCATGACCTGACTGACTGAGAATCTCCATAGACATATTGTTTTCTTTCTTTGCATCGGAATATGGAAGAGCTTTATGTTTGTATTTGCTGTGGTGGTCATTTTGCCTTCTCTTATGGAGAAAAGAATGATATGCCAAGGGTGACTTCTACCTTCGTTGGTGCCAGGCACCACACTTCCTCACTCCTTGGACCAAGTACCATAAAATTATTACATCGTCAGCTGTAGAATGTGGCAAAGTCATAGTGGACTGTGGCTCTGGGAAATGCTCTGGAAAATTACCATTGTATAATGATAATGTACCAGTCATATGATGTGGATTCTCTTGCTTTTGTAAATTATGGGGTTGTATATATCACTTAACAAATGTCATTTCTTTGTGCTTTTTGAGTAAATCCTGCATGTGGCATTACTGTATAAAGATTATTCTCAAAAACAAATCATTTGTCATACAATTTATTAGCGTAAGATTTTGTGCCGTTTTAAATTAAGTTTAGCACAGTTGTTACATCCTTTTTACTCACAAGTGTTCAGGTGTGTATCCAAGAAGTTAGAGGAAAAATAAAAGTTACTAAAATTTACTACCAGTAGTAAAAGCAACTTCCTTTCAACACTGATTTAAAATAAATGATGGATGTAGATCCAGAGAATTATTGTCTTGAAGCTTTTGTTCTTGGCATATTGTAGAACTAGGTGGCACTTTGGATATTATTGCAGAATGGTATGTCAGAGCTCACCTAGAGCCCATGTCTCCAGCTTTTTAAAGAAGCCACACCTTTTCCCAGGTTTCTGCAACTCCCTCACATCCCAGAAAGAGCATCCCTGATTGAAGGAATGTCATTCACATCCTCTTTGGAATCCAGTTCAGAGTTGATCCAGAGCCCCAGGAAACATGCAAAACAACCAGCTAGACATGATGAATCAGCACAGTCACACCATTAAAGCTTTTCCCTTGCCAAACTTTGTGAATTTCCAAAAAGCATTTGATAGAGAAGAAAGCAAGGAAATATTGAATTTCATAATATTTGTGAATGACTTGCAATCAAGCTTGACTCTACAGTATGTAAGATCACAGATATTACTACGTGGCAAACAGATTGAAAGAAATACAAAGAAGAGCTTCCCAAATTGCCTTGTCATTAACAGGCAAATGTGATTCAGTGTAACTGAGCTTAAAGCATTTTTTCAGAATATATCCTCACTTAATACAAACTGTCACCTATTTTGGGTGTGAGTAGTCAGGAGAAAGCTGCCCTGGGGTATCTTCTGAATGCTTTCAGGCGATTGAAAGTTGAGCATAATTTAAACCCATGATTTCTTTGAGTCCTTGCATTTTATTACAGAGCATGCATTTTCTTTCTATTGATAGCTATGGAGGAACGAGCAGGGGTGATACCTTGGGAAGCAAGCAGTCAGTCAAGTCCTTCCTACGAACCTACAAGGGTAAGAGGATAACTTAACTGTAGGTTAAAGCCGATTAAAGGAATATCCAATATCTGAGCACTTCCTGAACATGTATTTGCCTTGGGGTGCTTTTAATGAGCAACTGTGAATTATTTTCAAACACAAATAACTAATCAGAAGATGAGAAACCAGCTAGGGAAATTTGTGAACAGATCTGAACATGTGTTACAGCATCTGTCCAGGTTTGGGAGCACGAGGTTTGAATCAAGAGTTCATTACTGTCCAGAGGGCCTCAAGTTTGCCACAGTTTTCCTGATTGCAGTTTCCTCATGAAAGCTTTCCATCAAACATTTCGTGTCCCCAGCCAAAATGTGGATGTTAGGTTTAATTACTTGTTTATTGTCATCATGTTCTATTTATGCAAGTCCAGTTAAGCAATTGAAGTAATTCTTACCTGTAGAATTGGTAATATAGCATACTTGTTTGAAATAGTTTGGGTCATGCTGAAGAAAATAGTTTTTACTCCTAGAATTAAATGGTTTTAGATTGTTAGTTGAAGCACCAGCCTATGGCCTAGAAACCAGAAGACTCAAATTCTAATCCTGCTTTAGGCATGAAAGTTGGGTGGGTGACTTTGTGCCCAACCCACCTCACAAGATGGTTATTGTGGGGAAAGGAGGAGGAGGAAAGAGCATTGTGTATATTTGCCACCTCGAGTTACTTATAAAATAATAAAGATGGGATTTTAAAAATATATAATATGTGTGCCTCCAGATGTTGTTTAATTACAATTCCTAGCCACTTCAACTATTTTGATTACAGTGATTATCAGGAATATTATTTAATTTAATGATGTGTTTTGGACTAGAGGTTCACCCCTCTAGTAGAATATAGAACGTTCAAGCAAAAAACCGACAACCATAAGTTACTTGAAGAGTACTTTGATAACTAGAATTGTAATGTCTCCCTAGCTAGCTAACACAAGGGGAATCCCAGCTGCACTTAGGTCATTGTGGCCAACACTGCAGCATCAAACCCTGATTATAGCTTTTTTATTTTTTATGAGAGTTTGTATGCTCTTTTCTTAAAGGTTGGCAAGTGCTTTTGGAGATAAGTGGATTATAAACATGTCACCATCTCATTAATAGTATAAGGAACTATAAGTATACCCGGACAGCATGGTTCTTAAGTGGGATGTATGCTTCAAGTTACTAATCTCTCCAAGAGCACCAAGTATGTGTGTGTATAATTTATACAGTTATTCATGATATAAACTACTGTCCAAATAGACCACTGATCAGCCTCATCAGTTTCATCAAAACTGAAATCATCGGTTTTCTTATGGTTATTTGTTTGTTTAGAAATGTAAAGGCTGGTACATTATGCTAAATGTTTTTTTTCTTTTACAGGAAAATGGCAGCCTTCTTGGGAAAAGCTCAGTTATTTCAACAGCTCTGGAGAAACTGAAACACGAGGAGGTAGGATTCGCTTCTTGTATGTAGGTGACTCTTTGTAGAATTTCTCTTCTCTTTTATCTCCTTTATATTTTTACACACAGTCTCCCTGAAATGCCAAACAGGAAACTTTCCTGGCTCTATAGATTGCCCATTAAATCATAGAATGAAGAAATAGCATTCCAGGAATAGTCTGCATGTGAGAGAATCCTGTTGGAGGGAGGGAAGCCTATTGAACTAACCCTGGTCCTGGCAGAGAAGAAACTTGTTGTGGCCACAACCCTGGCTCCCCTTTGTGCCTTCCATCTGACCAGCTGGTGTTACGGAGAAAGCTCTATTTTAGTCAAGGGGTGGATACAGTCAGATAGGAGGGTAGGCACAGGGGAAGGACTACAATTCAGGAGTAGTGCATTAATATGGCATTCAGACCATCTGGCCTCGCAGTATTGGGGTGACCAAGATGAATCCGAGGAAGTCTTGATGGCTGAGGAGGTAAGAGATAACTCAGATTCCAGAAATGTCTGCTTTTAGAAATGGGATAATCCTAATGGGCAGATATTTATTGATTCCATTATATGACACCTTTTCAATTATATATTGCACCTTTTCAATTATAGTCTGAACAGTATTTTTATCAAAAGCAAAATATCTACAACAGGGGTCCTCTAACTTTTTAAACAAAGCCAATTTATCGGCGTGGCTACGATGAGCCCACAAATTGGCACGGTGGGCTCAGTTACCGGAGAGAGCAGCCACCACCTCGCTCGTGCCTTCTCATCCAAACTGCCAGGTGTTGCTCCGGTTCTTTCCGCCACAGCTGCGCAGCCTTTTCTTACAATTTTAGCTATGCCTTGGCACTCTCAGCCCAGCACTGCAGTTCCCCTCGCTCCAACCAGCAGCCTCTGCTTGCATCAAGGAGCCGGCAGCTGGGCGGGAGTAGGACAAGGACAGGTGCAAGGTGATGTGCCGCTTCCAGACCAGTCTGGCTGGCGGGTGGGTGAGCAGATGGCCCTTGGGAAGAGCACTGCACTGGGTGATGCATCTCCCGGTTGCTGGCTGGATGCGGGGCCCAAGGCGGAGGGAAGGTGCCCGGAGGCCCCACGGAAGCCGAGAGGCAGGCCCGACAGGCGGCTGAGCTTCACCGTCCACAGCTGCTTTCCCCCCCTTCCCCCCCCGGCTGCCCTTCAGCCTAGCGGGGCGGATTACTCTCTCCCGCTGTTGGCCTTAGTTTCTAGTTCCAGCCCGTGGGGCTCACAGAGCTCTGGTCACTGCGGCTGCCCACGAAAGTAAGGCCTGCGCTCGGCCAAAGGTCACAAGCCAGCGGGGAAGCTGGCAGAGTAGCGATGTGGGCAGCACAGCCTCGTGCTCCCTGGCAGCCACAGCAGATGAGGCCCAGCAGCTGCGGAGAGTGGGGGGAGGGTGAGATGTGGGCTGGGGGAACGAGCAGCAATGGCTCGCCTTCCTCTCTACCACCAGCCATGGGAGAAAGGGAAGAGTAGGTGGGGATCGGGGTCACAGCCAGCTGGGAAAGCCGAACTGCTGCCCAGCCCAGAGCAGCGAAAGATGGCTGAGCCTCGCTGTGTCCACCCCGACACCCCCAAGTCGGCCCTTCAGCCTAGCACAGCGGGCCTGGAGTGAATTTCTCTCCCCCACCATTGGTCTAACTTTCAGTTGCATCCCACTGGGCTCATACCGCTCTGCTCACCGCAGCTGCCCACCAATTAAGGCCTGCGCTCAGCCAAAGAGCAGGGGTGGGCGGGGCAGCCTCATGGTGCCGTGCAGGCCGGATTAATTGCTTTGGCGGGCCGTATACAGCCCGCAGACTGTAGTTTGAGGAGCCCCGATCTACAATATAGAATCAACAATTTAAAACTTCCAACATAAAATGTCCTAAAGGTGCTTTTTCAGGAGGCAACTGGATTTTCTTGTTTTTTCTTTTGAAGACTTTTCACTTCTCATCCAAGAAGCTTCTTCAGCTCTGACCATTCCCCACTATCCTGTCAGAGCTGAAGAAGAAAAATTTTGGATTTCACCCCTGGTCAAAGTGCTATTTTCTCCCTGGAATTTCTGTCAGAAGAACTGGGAAGAGCTTTGTATACTGTAGCTTAGGATCATTGTGGCCATAACCAGAAATATTTGAGCTGCTTCTGCATGCAATCAAGACCCTGCTCCACCCAAAATTGACATCCAGCATAAAGAGCAGCAAATTCCCAATGGTGTAATTAAAAATCATACATTTGCAATTGTTTTATGGAAGCTATTGAAGTCTCTTGACATTCATTTATGAAAAACCATACTATAGTATTTATAGTATGATGGAAGTTTAAAAATGGTCAGTTTATATATATTCTGTGACACCAACATTTAAAATCCAATTTCATCAAAAAATTACCTACTGTACATCCATGTTTTCATTTCAGTTTACTTGAACTGAGTAAATGGAGCTGCAAATAATAGCTGCTTAAATACTGTTCTTTGTGCATAGGGTTTTATAGAAACTCCTTCCTATGGTGATCAGTTGAGTGATGAACAATTAGGACCCAGTGAAAGATTATCTCCAACTCCTTTCCTGAATTCAAATCTGATAGGTAAGTTGGTATTAATTTCTGTGTTGCTCCCTACAAAATGGTTCCTCCCCCCCCCTTTTTTTTTTCTCCTAGATTAATGCCATTGGTATGATCAGGCAGGAGCAAGCAGTCAGTGCCAACACTGAGGCATTAGAAGTTGGTCATAGCAGGACCCCACGCATCTATTTCATGTGTTTCCAAGAGGGATCTTGAAGTCCTAGTGGACAAACATTTGAATATGCTGCGCAAAAAGCCAATACAAGTCCTAGGCTCCATTATCAGAGGGATTGAATCAACATCACATGAATGTTAGTATCATTTTGGAAGGCCTCGGTAAGACCACACTTTTGCACCCACGATATAAAAAAGATGTTGAGACTCTGAAAGAGTACAGAGAAGAGGGTTGGACTGGAAGACCTCCAAGGTCCCTTCCAATTCTGTTATTCTCTTATTCCATTATTTTTGGCAGAAGCCATTCAATGTGGAAGTCACCAGAAAAAAGGAAAGCAGGGAGGGGAAGAGCAAGGAGGTGTCCAATGCCAGTAGAGGAGGAGGAGAGGTCCCCAGTAGAGAAGTTCTGTGAATAATTCAATGATTGGGGATAGAGAACAAAGGTAAACTGTGGCAGATACACAGAACAGAGGAATTGGGGGGGGGCTGTAGTTTGGGTCAGTGGTGCTGGCAAGGCAAAGAAAGGGTTTGCAGTGTTTGGACTTGTTAAATAAAGGCAGAGACTGCAGTACTCTGCTCAAGTATATTTGGAAACAATCACTGCCATTATTGACACTTGCAAATCCATGGAAGAGATGAACTGCCACTGCAATGATATCAAATTTCATGCTAATCTCTTAATTCTTTGAATCTGCAGCCACCTGTGTAAGTGTCCATTAGTGCGCTCTCTCTTTCAGCAACTGTGTTGTGTGCCTTGAGGCCCTAGGTGAGGGTGCATGTTGCAGGGCGTTGTACTTTGTGGTACCTCAACATGGCTTATTTAACCAATTAGGTTTTAGAGGAAGCCACAGTTGGCAATAATGTGACTTACAAACTACAATGACTGAGTTAACAACCTGTGTTGAACCCTATTATGCCTAAGGTGATGTCTGATATCATTCATAAGCAAGTCTTGAAACTCCATGTATTTCTTTCCCAAGGTGTATTGCTTTTTGAGAGAGGGGGAAGCTGATTCTTATGCATTTGCTTTAAACTAGCTTGCTCAGGCTTTCCCTGTTGGTAGTCTAACGGATTATTTTCCACAGTATTTGAAATGGTGTAATTTCATAAGCTTTTCATAAATCCTGTCAATGCATCGTTAAAAATAGTTATTTGTCAGCAGAATGGTATTTTATTTTATTATTTTCTATTATTCTATGTTGAGCCACGGGCATGTTTGCCCGGAAAGATAGTGGATTATTAATTTCTGGTGGCTTGACCAATGGAGTTTTAAAACTCCTTAATCTTTTACATTATGGGAGCAAAAAAATGCTGAAGAATAGAAAAGGATAATTATTCAGGAATGAACATTATGCTTTTTTAGAAGATGAATTTTAAAATAGACATCTGGAATGTTTTTTGTCAGAGGAAATTATATTGAACTGATTTATGTTTCCAATTCTAATTTTGTTAAGAGGACAACATGTACAGAATTAAATGTTTTTACATTAACAGTAACTAACTGGTTATTAAAGAAAAGTCTCTGACTGACAAATTCATGAGTGCATTTTTTGCTGTGATATTGTTAATTTGATAAATAGTTGCAATGGAGTAATAGTAACTATTAGAATTCATAGATTTCAATTATAAATGAATTGAGGAAAGAAGGAAAAATACAGAATGCTTCTTGGTTAGTGTGTTTATGATGCAACTTAGAAGAAATGTTGTGCCTCTCCCTGGGGAAGTAAATTATCTTCTCTAAGTGCTCTAATTACTGTGCCTTGAAGCTATTTTTATATTAATGATTTAAATTAAAACTAAAAACTTACTTTTAGCTTACTTTCTTTTTCAGAATCATGTGGAATATAGGGGATGGTTTCAGAAACAATTCATTTTGTTCAGACGTTTTTCAACTAACAATATGTGCAGCTTTCTGCAGTTGTTCAAATGCAGGTTTTCAGATGAGGGTTTATGCAGAGCAGAAATAACTGAGGAAGTAATTATATTGGCCCATGAAACCAGTCAATGAACAATCAGGAGTAATATTGATTCATAAAGTTTACTGTCTGTACAGTTATGCTCAGGCTTTAGGAAATAAAAGAAAGTGAGTTTGAACTCTTGCTATACAAAAGAAAATATTGAATAGTCTAACTGAGACCTCATGGGTCCTGATGGCTGTTGTCCAGACACAGAGGCCATGAACCTGGGAGCAGAGGCCATCCCAAGTCAAGGAGCATAGGGGTTACTGTCCACTTCCTCTGCTTTTGAATTTGCTGGCCTTGTGGTTGCAGATCACTTCAGCCATGAGAGGGAGATAGATCTACCAATCCAGGTGCTGGTCTTGCTTCTGCCCCGCACTCTTCTTGGGCTGTAGAAAGCAGGTGCTACAGTAAGTCCGAAGGAAGCCATTGTAGGAGCAAGGAATCTCACTCGGGTCCCGCTTGCCGGCCTGGGGAAGCTTGCTCCCTTTCAGAATAGCAATCTAGAGAAGCAGACCTGAGAGGTTCGTTCTTTTCTGTACACATTGATCCATCGCTTGTCTGTCTAAAGTTTGAGAAGGAGGCAACTTACATGCACACGCTCTCCTGCTGCTGCACAGACAGTGTTGCAGGTAACCTGCTTAACAGAGTTTCCCTGTCTGCTTCTCTGCTGCCCCTTCCAGTGCCCAGTGAGTTTTAGAACATGGGGCAGGGATGGCCAGAAAAATATTGGTCCAGAAGGCCCCGGAGAGGAAAAAGACCAGTTGGCCAATAGTTCTCTATGAAGACTATAGAACCCTTGCTGGCGTTTTGATTGATTGTCCTGGCATACAGTTAAAATGGACATAGCCATCACTTCAGAAAATAGTTCTGAATAAAATGTGAAGGGACCCTATTTGACTGCAGTGGTGTTTTCTGTACAAAATGTTTACTTTATTTAAAATTTCTACCTAGGTTAGCTTGATATATTATCATTTCTCTGTGCAGAGATTAAATTCCTAGTCTTTTAGTCAAGATGAATGAAGTTTCTGGACACGGGGGCTGAACAGAAACACTTTTAAGATAGAAATTTCCAACTTCATATAATTCAGCCTCATGCCATATAAATCAGCGACTTCATTGCAAAGAGTGCTCTTAATAATGTGCACGTCTTGAAGCGCTTTCAGTGGAGGTTATTAAAATGCTAGTTTGTATCTTCCAGTGAATATAATGATGTGATTATGAAGTCATCAGGCATGGACCAGTAAGACTCGAGAGAGCCTCCCCCATCTAAAGTCCTTGGGGTGCCATTGATTGGTGATCATGTGTTTGTGTCCAATAGACTGTGAAATGGGGGTGTTGCTGCACGGCTGTGTTCCACCTGCGCCCCACAGAGGTGATAGATTGGTTTGGTCATGTGGAATGTCCCCATCTGGTCTTCAGTAATGTGTTCCCCAGCAAATAACAAACAAGCAATAACAAAAGACTAAGGAAAATGTTCCTTTTAAAAATAAAGCAATATTTTAAGCCATGCTTTCCCCCATTTCCATATGTTTTACAAAGCTAAAGATGTGCAAGTTTCAACTATAGAAGGATGACAATCCTTTATGAAAATCTTTGTCAAATAGACTTTTGAGAATGTCTGAAAAATATTGGTCCAGCTCTGCTTTTGCAGAACATATTTATTGTTTCGGATAACTGATTAATCTATTCTTACAATCTCACTTATTTAAAAAAAGGCTTTATTGTAAATGAGTTTTGAAATCAAAATGATAAATCATTATCTGGACGTTTTCATTTTTTTACTTTTCATTTTTTCTCATTTGATTATTTCTTAATCTCAGTTTTTTCCATAATTGATCAGTTCACTCCACCTTATGACTAATTACATATCCGGCCACTTCATCAGCACTATTCATCATTGTAGAATGTAATAATGACATTTCAACAAAGGAAAAAATAAATATGCAAATAAGACTCATTAACATTTGCACGAGCTGTTTGAATAATCACATTGCTGACAAGGCTGTAATTAACTGAAATTGATGCTGTGTTTAGGGTTTGATGGTGTGTTTTCTTAGTAATTTATTGTTTTTCCTCTGGAGGCCAGAATTGCAAGAGTTCTGCTCTTTGAGCATCTTTTCTGCCTGGGTCACCAGGTCATGCCAAGAACTGGAGGCTTGGAAGGTTTATTTGTGACTGCCCAAATAGGCCTATAAAAATACTTGCTTTAAATAAGTTTAGCCCTAATGAAGCACTGTTGTATTTCTGAGTTATGCAACACCTATATTAAAGACATGAATATGAGACTAGAAGAATATTCATTTTTATCAACATTCTTCTGTGAATCACATTACAATAACGTAGCAGTTTTATTTTCAGGCACTCCATGCCATACAGAAGGGGTGTGTGTATGATAAATCTGTATTGGTGCTTTGAGTTTATTTTGAGTGAATATTTTTAGGAAAAGTATAATCAGTTCACAACATAAGGTAGAGCACTGATAGAGGGTAGTGGCCCCTCAAGCACAACATGCTGGGTGGAAACTCACAGTGGAACCTGGGCAAGCAAGTGATGGCCCCTTTTCCCTGTCACTCATGGGTACCTTGGATTTCTGGCTCTGGCGGTGGGAAATGGGCATCAGAATGAGTTACCCTGGCATCCACATCTGTGGGTCCCTTGAACTACTTAAACCATCCCGATTCCTCTGTTTTGTGCAAGAAGCCCTTCCATTAACCTGTTCTGTGATAGACTTTGGAGAAAGCGAGAGTAACTTCTGTCTCTTCTACAGTATTTTCTGCAACATATCCCAGTTCATGACCTGCTTCCATCTCTCCCATTCCCTGCTTTCTCTCCAAAATGTTTGTCTATAGTTGTTTAAGATTCAGTTCCAGATGCTGGTTATCACCTTGAAAGCCATTTAAGGCAGAAGCCTGAGTTATTTGTGGGGCTATTTGTCTCCAGCTATTTCCACTTTTCACAAGATCCCACATGCAAGATCCCAGGGCATGTTCCACATCCCTTTAGTTAAAACCACATTACCTGGTGGGACCCAGAAGTGCCTCTGCACCTCTCCTGTGGAACAGTGTAACCCCTCATATCTTAATGGCCCCAAGGACCTGGGTTTTTTTCTATACTCTGTGAGTGATGTATTTTTCATTTTTGTTTTGATGAGTTTTTGCAATCGTGTCACATGGTAAGTAGGCATCTATACAAATTGAATGAAGAATACATTGGAGCATTGAGTAAATGCCAAGTACAAATACACACACACACACACACACACACACACACACACACAAAGCCCCTCAGTTGTTTCAGTAAATTGTTTATGGCAAATTCACTTGGTTTGTCTGCATACAAAGAGGAAGTGAAATTTGGACCTCTAAACTATCAATCAAAGTGAAGCACTAGTTCTCCATTTTTGTACAATCATCAATTTTAAAGTAACCAGCAGGCAACTCAAAGGTCAGCAAAAAGAGGCTATTGAAGTAACAATGTGCTTACCACCATAATTATTTTTATTAAGCTGTGAAGAATAATTATACCTTAGTTTGTGAGTCAATGTTCTGTGTGTTCTTAGTAACTGCTTCTAAACTGTGGCAGTCCAAGAAGAAGACCGTTGGGAGGAGAATGTAATTAAAATGATAATAGGCCATGAGAAGAGCGGTTTTGGCTCATCACTCCCAAGGGAAAAGGGTACCTGTAGTAGAAGCCTCAAAGTGTAAACAGCACAACACATTTCTTGAAATATTCTTCCAGGAAGCAATTGCTTTAGTCAATCCATTTTATTTGTGGTAAAAGGAACTGTGTCCCTTCCGACTTTGTTGTTCTGTTGTTTGGAATGGTGTTTCTCTAATAAACTGTTGCCTTCTGATTATCTCCTCCACTATAGTCGGTGGAGCTTCATTTGCACAGCATCTTGTCTAGGAGGTTCTTTGAATGTATATTGCCTGAATTCAAGCAGTTTAGAACTAAATGAAATACTCAGACTTGTGCAGAACTTGGTTTTGGTTTCTGTTTTTAATCAACTTACCTTGGTTGCATAGGAGTTACATCTGGGGCTGAGAATACAGGTCCTTCCACTTTATCCTCTACAAAAAAAACAAAGCAAAGTGCAGGGCTAGAGATGCCATTGGAGTGATTTGATGAAGGTTCAACTGGGATGGCTTTTCGGCCTGGAGTTCAGGGAATCCCGCTGTCCCACCTGGCTCTTGTGGGCGAGCAAGCCATCCAGTGCTGGGTTGCCCCCGGTTTGGACCGGTTCGCAAGAATCAGTAGTAAAACCGGCGGGAGGCTCCACCCACTGACCCGGATGTCATCAGAAGTGATCTGCGCATGCGCAGAAGAGAACGCATGCGCAGGCACGATGCAAACCAGTAGTAAAGGTAAGTAGAACCCACCCCTGAAGCCATCCGCCATTGCGAATTGTGCTGTAAGAAGGGGTTAACAGCAAAGGAGTACATGTAATACTGTTCAGTAATAGGGTAGTGAAGCTATTTGTTGCCTTATTTTAGATACAATTGGATTTGCATGATTTTGTGCATTTTATATAGAAGAAGCTGTAGCGCTCCAAAGATCCGTTTATCAAGGCTGATTTTTCAGGAAAGATAAAACATACTGATCTCTGCTGTTAAAAATCAATTTGATTAAACATATTAATGAAATAAATAATACACTAATTAAACTGTTTAGGGCACGTGCAATTCCTTGTTTAAATCACTGTTTCTGTTTAGCAAAAGATTTTGTAGTAATTCAGTGCCCCTTTGCATAGAAGTTGGCAGAAGGCAGTTGGGAAAAATATCATGGTGGCCTCACCACCAAATAAGTTTCTTGGCTTTGCCAGAGTTCCTTCTCTGAGATGCCACTAGGATAACTATCAGTCTAATTGTAATTATGCAGACTTTTTTAACCTATTGATTTTTAGTGATCTAAATGGATTCGCTTTTCTCTTTAAATATTAGTGTTATCTTTCATTATTCGGGTCTTGATACTTATTTGTAATGAATACACAGTTAATTACATGTTCGCTTGTGCTATGGATTTTTCTTTAATTGATGGCCGATCTAAAACCTCAGTTAACTTTGAAAAAGGCAGAACTAGGCCCTGGTGGGGTTTGGGTGGAAAGCTCTTTCCAAAGTACCGCCGAGCAGAGTTTGTGGACTGCAGGGAATGTAGCTTGACTTGAAAGAGGCTGCACCTTGTTAAAAGATTCTGAATCATAGTTTTTCACTAATGGAGTAAGCATCTCCATGCTCCTTGCGGTAAGAAAATTGCTGGCATAAATTGGTAAGCCATCAACCTTCCCAAATGGTCAGTTTTGCATGGCCTGCTTTTCTGTAGCTGCTGGGCATGAAATGGTATCTCCCCACTCCACCCCCAACCAGCTATTTTTACTTAAAATACACAGGGTAATATATTTTTATCACCATTTTTAAAAATTTTAAATTTAAGTTGAAAAATAAAAATTGATTAAAATATTTTAGTCTTTATAGTTTCTAGCCTGGCTATTTTACTCATAAAGTCCAACAAACAAGGCAGCAGCCCCCTCCCGTGGGGCTTTCAAGTGGGCTTGCAGCCAGTGAGGAAAAGCTGATGCTGGCCCTGATGGGAGGGAGATCCTTGAAAGCCAGGGGTTCTCTGGGGTGCTGTTAAAGGTATACATGGTTCCCCACCCCCACCCCAGGATTTTCATTAGGCAAATTTAAAGTTATTTTTCCAAAATTAGTATTTTGCTATTGTGCTAATATTGTGAATTTTACTGTTACTATCTTCATTAGTGGGTTGTGCAAACCGCTATTCCGAACAATACTATTTATAGGGGGTGAGGGGCACTGAGGATGAGTTTTTAGCACCAAGGGGGTGGTGGACTGAAAAAGTTTGGGAACCACTATGCTAACGTGTTATTTTAAACCCTGCCTGAAATATGACATAACTTAAGGGTTGTTTATCAGTTGGAGCTGGGCTTTTGATTTATGGGAAGAAAATGCTCAGACAGGTTAACGTGAACAGCAGGGTTAATATTGTTTGAGAAAAAATGGGCCTGCTGGGTATTATTTTCCTTAGTTGGCGTCTGGCAGTTTTTGGAGCACTTAATTGCTTGACTGGGTAACTGTTATTGGTTTTGATTTTGATTATGGATATGAATTTGTTCTTATGAGGAAAGTTGAGATAGAAATCAGGTTAGTTGCATCCAAAATCCATGAACCGGGGTCCTCAATTTGCAGTTTCACTGTGTGACTGCCTGGCCAACAAAATGTGTTTGATGAACTGCTCATCAGGAGACATTTTTATTGCGGGGTTATGAGACCGAGACCCAACCCTGTACCTTGGGGGGAGAAATACACACATTTATTATTTTAGAAGGTGATGGCATGATAAAGTATATGATAGATAACCTTCATTACCATTTTTTGTGTCTACACACTGGCACGCATGAAAACTTAAATTCTGATGCCTGCTCTTAAAAGGAAATTTTGTGTGTGTGTGTGTGTATATACAAACACACACACACACACACGCTGTATACATACCCACACACACACACGCACAGAGTCCATTTTGTATACGTAGCGGGGGGGAGGGGGAAAGAGTCTTGAGAGTTAAGGAGGTTGATCCTGTATGGTGCAAAGCTATCAAGAGGCCTGAGCTAGTCCTTCTTAACAACAACAGGCAAATGGAATTTGCTTTACACAGGAAAATAATCTTGATCCTGAGAAGTATCAGCATGTTGTGTTTTGTATGCTATCAAGGTGTGTCAAACAGTTGGAAGTATTCTTAAGTCTTTTGTCTTCCTCCAAATTATTTACTGCTTTTGTTAAACATTGTGCTGGTTTTTAATTTATATTCCCTTTTAAAATGTAAAATTCTGTCATTAGGAAGTTCTCAGTATGTCTATAATGGGCATTCATTTTTAAGTTTGTTTGCTTTCTAGGAAAAGCCTCTGAGAGGAGTCAGTTTCCAATGTTTGGTCAAGATGCCGGGCTCTCAGGCTGTCAGGTAGATCTGCCATTTAAAGAGTTGCCATTAGTTTTTTTTTTTCTCTTTGAAATTCTTAATACAAATTACACACACACACATTCCTACACTTTTACAATACAGTAGTAACAGATGAACACATTATCTTTATATTTCAAGGCTGTTGAAGTTGTGACAGAACAAAGTTTCCTGTATTATTTATTAGATTTCTGTTTTATCCTTCCTCCGAGAAGCTCCAGACAGTGTATGTGGCACTCCTACTTTTTCTCAAAAATTGTGAGAATTTTTATAATTTTGTGGAGCAGTTTGGGCTGAAGGAAAATGACCAGATCTCCCCATTCTCAGGCAAACTACCTTTCCTCAATAGCTGTGATCTGGTTTCCAGGCAGAAGAACCAGAAATTCCCAATATTATGGTGTATGTTTTTACTCAAAGATTATTAGGCTTCTTTTTACCCAGCTTTCAAAGAAATAAAATGAAAAAGTATCAGCAAATGTCAGCATTTCACTATTTAGTTGTCATTGATTGCATAATTTATTCTATTAAGAAGCTGCTATATTTTGTTTTAGACTGCGGCCTCTTCAATTTTTTCCCCTATAAAACAAAATTCCAAGCTCAATAATCTCTTGAACAGGGATTGTGTGGGAGCTTTTCAGGAAACATGGAGGGGAACTTCAAGCAGCATGCTGGAGAACGAAGGCGTCTTGTGCTAATCTGCATGTGACTGAGTAGTAAAGTCATCTTCGCTGAAGAGAATTCAAATGATACCTGACGGAAGTGCAGTTTTGTGTTCTCTTGGAGAGGGTGGTGAAAGGGTTAATTGGAGAATTTCTGCTCTAGAGACCATTGGGAAAAATCAGAAATTCTTGAGGAAGATAGGAGAAGCTCCTGAGGAGGGACAGAAAAAGAGTGAAGCTTGCTTGGAAACCTAAGGAGGAAGGAAGCATATAATGCACCAAAGCAAAAGATCCCCAGTGCTGATAGAACTTAACCCTGGGCTCAGGCTTTGCCTTTGAAGACCCTCCTCAACCCTCTGACCATGCCCTACCACCCCAGCTTCATGGCCTTCCGCCCTTGAAGACCAAGTGGGCCTGTGAGGAACGTCAGGTAACTAGGCTGGAAATAGCATTTGAAATAAGTGCTTTGGAATGAAGAGCAGCATATGCAAAATACCTTCTTTTAACTTTTAAAACGGATCCTTTTTTTTCAAAGATTTGGTTATAAGTATAGAAAATGAGATTTCAGTTGGCTGGGAGACTTCCATTGGTCTACGCATAACATCTCTCTGAACCAAAGTTCATGTGGAGAATTGAGACAACTAAGTGATCAAGAGGAAGTGAGATCTTGATAATACCAAGCTTCTTTATTGGTATCAGTATTACTCTCAGAGGAGTGTATTCTGTCTCCATCGGATGACCTCTGGATGGAATTGATCTTAATATTGTAATTCTTTTATTATTTGCAAGACAGTAAAAGCAATAGGATGCGTTAATTACATCTATATTAATTTTAATTTGGCAACCAGTAGTAATTCATATAAACTTGGTGGGTTTTTTTCAGGAAACAGCAGGAGTAGAAAAGAAACCTTATGTCTTTGAGTAAAGCCCTTTTTAATAGCAATTAAACTTATATACTGCTCCACGATGTTTTACAGCACTCTAAGCGATTTTCAGAGTCAGCTTATTGCCCCCAACAATCTGGGTCCTTGTTTTACTGACCTCGGAAGGATGGAAGGTTGAGTCAACCTTGAACCGGTCAAGATCGAACTGCTGGCAGTCAGCAGAGTCAGCCTGCAATAATTCTGTATTCTAACCTTTGCGCCATCAGACCCTTCCTTATTGTTACTAAATTAGAAAGTTATCTAAAACTGGCCTAATACAGAGCACATTAAACCATAATATGCTCATTATTCTGTGAACTTAGCCATCATGAGTTACAAAACATAGCTTACGGATTAGTGCCTTGCATTAAACCTTTGTTTTCCAAAAAGTCTTCTGAATTTTGATAAGGATTGTTCCTTTGTCTTAATATGGGCAAACCGCAAACCTGCACAGCTATGTTTCCATTGATGATGATAATCACCTCCCACCATTATGTAAATAGAGTCAGGTATTACTTGTTTTGTTTACAGACAAGTCGGCTTCAGTCTGACATTGGCGTTGGAAGCCCAGGCCCCCTGGCTTGCTCAGGAAAAACTGGAACACCATATTATCCATTTTCCTCTGCAAATCCACGACGAAGGTCCCTTCGTGATTCATCTTCCTTTGGTGAGTCAGTCAAGTTGTGCCCCTTTTTCCCCAGGGAACACATCAGATTATAGGCTTCATTTCTTGGATAAGATACATTTCACAAAATCTTTTGAGTTAGAAATGGGAGCAAGGGAGAGGAAGAGGCTGCAGAAGAGAACTGCGCTTTAATAGCCTGGAGGGTAGAAGTTGCTGATAATTGTTCCAAGTTTCTCCCCCCCCCCCCCCATTCACACAGAATATTGTGTGTGTGTGTGTGTGTAACAAAGATTTTCTGGTCTGGATAATAGTGTAAATTGCTTACTTCCTCATCAGATTTAACTGTTTAATTTAATTATCTAATAATTCAGTGTTATAGAAAGGAATTTGTTGTAATTTATACTGAGAAAGCACATTTGGAATGTCCTTCATATTTCAAATTCAGGACTATTCTGATGATAGCTATTGAAGGACCTCACCCAGTGGCTTCAAGTAGACCTTCTGAGTTCTCTTTGCACTGTGTTGTGTCACTTTATTTCAATACTGCTACATTTTCCTATTAATTAAAGCATTTTTTTTCTGTGCAGATTCTCTGCAGACAAAAAAAGTAAGGAAGGTGCCTCCTGGTTTGCCGTCTTCTGTAAGTCCTAGAGGTTTTTAACCTTTTAATTAGAAGCACACACTTATATATCTAACTTTCTTAGTCATAAAGATTCAAGATTGTCAGCAAGGAAGGAGACAAATTAAAAAATGAAATTGGAATGCAATCCTGTGGCCGTTTATGCAGAAAGAAAAAGTGTTGTGCATAGGTTGCCTTAGATTTGAACAGAGAAAGAGGATTCCAGAGAGATCTGTGATTATACAGAGGAGGAGGGGGAGGGGCACATGCAACAAACTCATTAAGCATTAAGAACAAAAGTTTTTGAGGTGGTAATACTGAGACAGAGTAGAGGGCAGGTCCCAGGTCTGGTCCTCCCATTAAATCTAGGATTTTTAGAGTTGCCAGCAGCAATTTGTGGAACTCCTATTCAGTTTTACCTGCTAGTTCCTGTAATCCAAGGGGAAAGGAGTGTCCCAGGAACTGTCTCTTGATATACATCTTTTGATGTTTAATTAGCCATTATGTTGCTGAACAGGAGGACAGAGATTAATAGCAGAAAACGGTAAAATTTACATTGCTAATGATCCCAGTGATATTGAAGACCTTGAAATTCGATTGGTAGGACACGTACAGCTCAGCTTGATTCAATAGGACTGAGGTTACTAATTTGCATAAATCACCAAGTCTGATGCTTATTGTGAAGCCCTGGTGAATTTTCAAGTCTTCATTAAGCCTTTTCTAACTTGAGCTGAGCATCAGAAAGGCTTTCAAGCAGCCGGTTTGTTGATCCTCTTGCACATTTTTTTTATCCGTTGAGAATAAAAGGCTGATGAAAAATGGTTTGGAGGGCTTGGTAAAAAGATCATTATCAACTATGATAATCTTACGCATTGGAAGTTTGAAATATTAACCATGTTTCATTCAGTAAAGTAAGAAAATTGTTAAATGTATCTGCATTTAAAATCCATATCAGATAAAAGCAGGGCCCTTTATCCCCCCCCCCCCTTTCAGAGCACACAAGAACTCACTTCTTTGTTGTGCAAATGGAGGTATTGGGCTTTTATTCAGCAGCGCTTGGATGAGTTATAGCTCAAGAGTTGTGCAGGGTGAATTGGATGTGCTGCTGCTGCTCAGGGCAGGAGCGAAGCCAGTGGGGCCCCCACAGTGCCTGATCAGAGTGGAAGCTGGAGCTGCAACTTGCTTCCGTGCATCTTCTCCTTTGCAGCTGCTCCTCCTCCTCCTCTTCCTTCTCCCAGATGCAAGATGCTGCAATTAACCTGGAAGCCAGGCTTAATGCTGGACACCCTCAGAAAAGCAGCTTCAGCATAAGCACCTGGCATGATAAGCTTCCTGATAAAGTCAGGAGCAGAGAGCCAACCATTATCCCTAAATATAGGAACCTTCCCCTCCTCTTCTGTTCCCAAGAGAAATTTAAAGCTACTCCAAGTTACTTTTTATGATATTTTTAATTACTACATTTGAATGACACATACCATGTAGTAACTTGGAAAAGAAAGTCTACCATAGATAATTAACACCTGAACCTGTGCATAATAGTCATGCACACAAAGATAGATGACCCTTTCTGCCATTCTTTAAAAGGTATTTAAGCTCCATTACTAGCTCTGATCTTGCCTTAAGGTAAAGGTAAAGGTTCCCCTCGCACATATGTGCTAGTCGTTCCCGAATCTAGGGGGCGGTGCTCATCTCCATTTCAAAGCCGAAGAGACACTGTCCAAAGACGTCTCGGTGGTCATAAACTAGATTTTGCCTAGATTAAAGCAAATTCCTTCGTTAAATTATACTTTGGTTTTCGATATTGAATAGTAATGGCCATCTCTGCATAAACAGAGAATGCTAAGCTGTTGCATATCAATTGCTGAACAATTCAGGCTCGTGTGAAACTAATGCATAAGCCCAGCTAAACCCGGTACTGAAGTGTTTCAAATCCCATCCTCTATAGCTCTGAGGAAATAATCCCCACTTCTTTATGAAATGTTGAATGTGAATGTCTTGGTTGGACCAAGAACTCCTGTCTGCCCCAAGGGGTTCTGCTCCTTTGCCCAACTACCTGTTGGAAAAGGTTTTACCCAGTGCTGGGAGGCTGGGAGTTCTCTTTTCCACTGAGTAAAGACTCTATGCTTGAAAGAACATGGGAAACTTTGAATAAAAAGCCAAAACTGGCCATACTTGTTTTGTTGTCATATATTCTATGCAGGGTTTCTTGATAAGATGCAAGCTCTGCTTAATGCAAGGTGAATCTGACATATTAAAAAGGGGGTGGGGGAAATAAGCTGCAAATATATCTTAGAAAGAATTTGCCGTTTGCAATGCTAGGATCATCCAGTGAGGCTGAATTGGTTAGGAAAAATGGTGCTGTCTCACTTTTCAGTACTTTGTCGGATGCTGGCTAGGCCTGCACTAATGGGAAAACATGAATATATCTTTTTTCTCGTTCTTATTGGAGAAACACTAACTATTCAGAAAAAGACTAGGGCATTTTATCAGATCATGGAACCAATAGGGATGAAAGAGAGGTTCTTAAAGATTTGGCTTGATTGTTTTCTTTTCATGCTGTACAAATGTTCTTATTCTGTTATAAATGGTGCTAAAATATAAGAGTAATCATTTGCTTTCTTGGTTTTGCAGCAAAATGTTCTTATTCCTGGACATATAAATGATAATGGGACATTTAATCTGTTCCTTGAATCACTTTCTGTGCTTATCTATTAAATATGGTTTAAAATCCTAAGAAGCATTTGTGTTAATGGTGCTGTTGCTTTTGAGATCTTCAGTTAAGCCATTTGTATGTGTGGCTCTCTACATTGCATACTGTAAAGCTCTGTGTAAATAAATGCATGTTTCTAAGCTGGAATCCAGATGGGTGGGGGCCACTGAGCAGATGGAGTTGGACCTTCTGTTCTGTGCAGCCTGCCCAATGACTGTCCAACTTCTGCTTGAAGACATCCAAGAAAAATATCCCTGCTCTCTTGGCAGGATTGGTTCTGTTGCCAGATGTTTTAGTTGTTAGGAACTCTTTAACATACATGCAGGTGTTGCTATATGCCAAGACACCTTGTGATAGACGTTAGCCATAGAATGTGGCAATTTGCTTCTATTTCTTCATGCGCATTTTCATTAGGCATTAAAATATTCTCTCAACAGAATAGGTTTAGATTATACAGCAATCTATGGGAATCAGTCAAAACTGCATCTGTCTATGATAGGCTGAGTTGTAATTTAATCTGAATTGGTGAAATATTTGTCAAAAGAATTGAGCCGAGCAGCCTAAATTGCTGGAACCAATCCATTACAGAAGAACTCTCTCGAGACAAGGACTGGCTCAAAGTATGAACCTGCTTAGCTGTTAGAGGGTCTGTTCACATCCACTTTCCTATTTTAACCGTTGCCCTCTACTGGTGGGCAACACATTTGTGGGACAGAGCATAATTGCTGGCGCACATTGGAATAAATCAATGGGTTCCTTCGGGGGGAGCATGTATATACTCTGCATGGGTTCCAGCATGTGTGAACCAGACATTTTGAGCTCTTCTCGGGACAGAGTAGACAAAAAACTTACACTGGCTTCAAAGACCCTCTGTATTTAGGTATGTATTTATTTCTCATAAACTACCCTTTCTCAACCTGTAGAAATCTTTGCTAGTCATCTATGCTAGTGGGCAATTCAATGCTTAACACATTGTAAGCCGCCCTGAGTCTCCGGAGAAGGGCAGCATATAAATCAAATTTTTTTTAAAAAAGACATTTGTTTCCACCTGTGTGGATACCTCCCAGGATGTTTGGATGGCTGCATGGAGCAGAAGGTCCAGAATTCTGTCATCCTCTTTTCAGTAGAGCTGGAGACAAAGAAAGGACGGAGTTTCTCCACAGTCTTCCTACCCTCAGTCCAGCTTTTCCTTGTTTGGCAGTGCAGTCTGTCCTCTGTTCCTCTCTTTGTGGGCCAAGAAAACTCCCCAGGCCTATTTATGTGAACATGCATGTATGTGGCTGAGGATTCTAGCTGCTAAAAAGCTGTTTATAATTCGCCTGCGCTGATCATTTTTATTTTAGTTGTATTCCACCTGTCCTTCAGTGAACTTTGTCTTCCTCCTCCTATTTTCCTCCCAAACAAGAAATCGCTGGGCTGGAATAGTGTGACTGGCCCAAAGTCTTCAGGGCTCTTCCATGGTCAAGGAGAGACTGGACCCTGAGTCTCCCGCTCCTGGTTCAGCACTATACCGCTGTGTAGCTCTATTTTTGGAGTTTAATTTTGGAAAGTTCATGTTTCAAGGAAAAAATAAAATCATTGGTTAAATTAAAAACAAAAACTTTCTGGTAACTTCTAGAATTTTACAGTGACAGCTGCCTATAAATGAAATAAAGTATTAAGCTCTGAATATCTAGTTAGACTGGGAAAGATTGAGGGCAAAAGAAGAACAGGATGACAGAGAACGAGGTAGCTGAATGGAGTCACTGAAGCAGTAGGCATGAGCTCAAATGGACTCCAGAGGATGGTAGAGGACAGGAAGGCCTGGGGGAACGTTGTCCATGGGGTTGCGATGGGTTGGACATGACTTTGCAATTAACAACAACAACAATCAAGTTAGAGGCAATTGAAAAAAAGTTGACTATTATTAGTAAATAGATTATTAGTACTATGTATAAAACAGAGTTTAAATGATTTTTAAAATACCAAAATACTTGACTAGTTTAAATCTAAAAAATTAATACATTTTCTGCTATCTAGGTTCTCCTGCCGTCTGCCTACAATTCAGTCTTAGGCAAAGAGACCAGATTGGGAAAAGTTGCAGCAGCCTTTAGGGAGAGCCGATGGGAGAAGTGCAGCCAGTCAGGAGGTCTTGTCTCATTTTATTAAAACAAAAGGATTAGCTGGCTCAGTGGTGTCGTAGGGGCTTTGGAGTTCAAAAGAAACAAAAAAATGGGGTTGGGATTAGCTGGAATCTAATGTCCTTTTAAGTGAAGTTCAGATTTTTACATTCCTAACCGAATGGATTCCTTGTTGTGTTATCATGACAAAA